TGCACTTCTTCAAGTGCACTACTACCTGCATCACTCATCGCCGTCGAGAGAAAACTGAATCTTATTCGTCGAAAAAAAAAATACTACTCTACATCTTCCAAAAAGTGATTTCCAATATGCCAAAAAGGCACATCTCAAATATTACCAAGTTAATGAAGATTCAAAATTTCAACATTCCAACTTTATCAAAATAGAAAAGAGATGCGCAATACTTAAAAAAGCTCTGCGAATTATTACATAATGATTTATTATTTTAAAAAAATTATGAATATTATCTTTCCTTGTCACTGAGGGGAAAATAAATAAAAAGTGGTTTTTAAAATTAGTATGAATATTTTTTTTTTCAGTAATTTGCTAAAAAATATAGAAAACAATCTTTATTGCTTCAGTTAATTTAAGACTTTCCAAACATCAAAAACCAAAACGAAAATATCAGCTTCGCAGTTGGAATATCGTAAACTTTTAAGGCAATACTACTTTTTTTTCAGTTTTCCAACTTGTTTTAAAACATTGCTGAATAATCGGTTCATTTTACAAACCTTTTAAATCTCCTGCCGCTTTAACCATCCTTCTTCATTTGTGCCTATCTTGTACTATTTCTTTTCAATCATCTGCATCTTCATACAATTTTAGCTTCCATTCTTATTTCGTGTGCTTCGGTCATCCTTCAATGATAAAATATTTGCTTGCCTTAACTGATTCAGATATATACATCTTGAATTCCATTCAAAGTGCCCTAAGTCTATGGAAACAGTTACCCCATCGAGTAGTGACAGGCGACGACTACCCTCGGATCCTCCGGTGATCGGAGGAGGAAATTGCTGTTGCTGAGGATCCCAAATTGGCGCTTGGAAATAGAAGATGAAAGCCGAGGTAACAAACGACCCCTAATCATAGCCGGGGTCCAGACCAGACCTGGAGTCCCCGGCTCCTAGTATAAATCCCCGGTCGGATTACATACATCACCCGCTTGAGGCCGGATTATCTCTTCAGAGCTCGCGGCTACCACCTCTTGTGCAACCACCGCCGAAGGGTCTCCGGTACCGCACTCTTCATTCCCGTCCATTTACCTCCTTATCGTCTTCATCGCTAGGGAAAGCGAGAAGAACTTAATCTCGGTATGTTATGATTAGAGTGTGATGTGAAGAATTACAACAACTCGATATGATATAAATATATGAGAAAGAAACATCGGTTTAATGCAAAATATGTGAATGAATAAAAAAATCTGTATGTTGTAATATATACAGAAGGTCTGGCTACATCACCTTCATTATTACATAAAGAAAAATTAATATAGAACACCTTTCCCAAATATAGAAATAAATCAGGGAAATGTTCTTTTTTAGTAATCTTTTTTTTTATTAAAAAGTTTAAATAAATAAAAAAATATGATAATAAAAACGAAGAGAATCAATGACAATTCTGCATCTACTTATTTTTCCCTGACTTATTGCGAATTATTAATTAATTTGTTAATTAATAAAGAATTATTGCGGCATCCATTATCAGTGCCTAAACTTACTGCGGTTACGCACCTATGGTATATAAATTTGCAACAGTAAAAATGCTCTCGCCCTAATCTATTCAGTTAGGACAAATGGTTTGATTCAGGATTGCTCTGGGGTTTCATGGCGTACGTTGCCACATTTTGACAGTGTTTTGAATCTTTGAGAGGAAACTTTTCGACGCTGTTATAATTTTTGGAATCGAAAGTTCCAAACCACAAGACAAGGGGATATGATGCAGCTTGTGTAATTGTATATGATCTATGATTTTTCTAATTCTACTTCTGCTAGCACTGTTTTTAATTAGGAAGAGGATAACAATAATATTTCGTTATAGGAGAGGATGTTTTCATGCACCATCGACCTTGGGAAGGATGGGCACTCCTACTTACTCTCCTGGCACTCCTGGTTAATCAATTAACCATTGATTAAGTATTTTACTTCCTTCTAAATGTAAGGAGATCTCAGGTTGCAGAAATAGGTATATATCATAAGATATAGACCAGGGACACTTCGGTATTCAGTTCACCTGGACGCATGAGCAGCTTGCGGTGACATACTGCTAGCGGCCTTAGTAGAACATTCATGGGGCCGTTAAGAATAAGTGACGTACCCGCTACATAATCACTTTGTCATCCTCACTCCGCTCACCGCTTAAGGAATCTCTCATCTTGAGCCTTTTTCTATCGTGAGTTTCTTCTTCACAACTCTTCTTCAATCATAGCTTTTTAGTATCCGCCTCTATATTACACATGAATACTTCTCTTCCCATAGATTATCTTCACATCATTGTGTCGATATGGAAGTTGAGAGCTTTGGCAGAATTTAAGAAAACTTGAGTAGAATATCAATTAATATCAAAGGGTAAGTTTGGTCCGTGTCCCCACTTCGCCATTTCTGGCTTACGGGGAGGGCGAAGTTGTTCTGAAGGTACAACATAACATTTTCCAGCCAGAGTAAAAAAGTTAGGATTTCTTACTTTGGATCCGCCAAGAAATAGATTTTATCCCACCTAAGCCGGATTCGAATCAGCGCCGTGTGACTGAAGAATATGATTACGCTTCAGCACACTCGGCCATCATACTGAATCCGAAAATCGAATAAAAAAACCGGCCTCCGGTCCACCATACGCGTCTTTTCTCCTCGTCTAATGAGCCGATTATTTTGAGTTGTATCTTCTAACATGTTTTTATACTATAAATGAACACTAATATTCTTAAGCAAGCCAATATATTGTGAACATTTTATAGTGCATTGTCCTCCGAAATCGCATAGAGAGTAATGTGACGCCATAAATAACTATTGGTAAATAATAAACCATTGTGTAATAATTTCCAACGTATAACTAATACGCTTCAACCAGATATATGATAATGACTTTTTCTGATTTTTTTAACAATGAATAAAGTGACATTATTAATATGTTCAATTTCAGCTTTGTTGAATATGATATGGAGGCTAAAACATTTTTCGCTTTTTTTTCTTCATTAATATAAAATGGCTCTGATATTTATGTATTGAAGTATTGAAAGGTTTTTACAATACGATACTGAAGACAGCATATGAGATGAGATGGAATAAATAAGTAATGCCAATAAAAGAGGTTAGGAGAAAAAAAAGAAAAAGAAAAAAGCGCGACCACACAGTTGTGGGCAGACCGACCTCCATCATGAAGCGAACGACTCCCAGCGAGGTTTCTCACGTCTCGTTCTCAGGATCTATTGTCTTGTAGACAGTTTGGCCAACCTCTCTTCATATCTCGCCATTAGGCCGTTTCCTTTCCCTGATTCAGAAGGCCTTTTTTTCTTTTTCTCAGGTTGGTGCCTCCGCAACCATCTGCCCGACATTGCATAATCCCTCTTGAGCACCCTGTACAAGAAAGGACCATTGCACCATCTTGCCAATCTCTGCGCCCGCGGACTGTACCAACGAGCCCATTCAGCTGTGTGCCTCTAATTTATGAAAGAACTATTGCTGGTCACGTCGGCAATGGGTGTAACCGGAGTCCTGATTATGTCGATATATTCAATGTTGACAGGCAGTTCACGCCTCGAATTTTCACCTGTGACCAATATTTAAACAAACAATATCGTCGGCACCATGTTAAAGTAAGGAATGTGAACCTTTCAAACGTTGCAATTTCGCCACTTTGACATAATGCCGACGATATAATTAATAATTTCAATGTGTTTCAATGTGCTCAAATATAATTACTTAATGTTCTGACCCCTCGATCAATGTGGGGCTATATTCAATAGATAATTTCCACTTATTTTCTATTATTCTTGACTGCGGTATATAAGTCTAGACCAGTTTCTTATTTATCATAGGATCAATCAAACAAAAGTTAATAAAAAAATTCATCTCAAAAATTATGATTTAAAATACATTTCATGTAAATAAAGAACCAACATTTTCACTTTTATTTTTTATATTCAGCATCATGATTCAGATATAAGACCCAGTGAACTAAAACTACCATTATTTTCAGTAAAAATGACTGCAATAAATTATTGTAAAGCTTTAATTTAATTTGTTTTTTCCATGATCTGGAATATATTATAATAAATATAAATGCCTCAACAAACTTTTTAATTATAAAACAAAAAGGTTAAATATAAATATTTTTTTCAAATATTTATCATCTAAAGTGATAATAAAATTAAATTTTTGAACCATAGCTCAGTACAAAGAGGATGAAATGTTGATGTTGAAGAGAGATACTTATTTTCGACGTACATAAGTAAGAATATTTGTTTCAGTGATTTATTCTCCCAAAATCATTCCATTCAATAACATCATATCATTTCGGGATCAACTTCTATATCCCATCTTCAGACAGTATCCCACATCATCTTATTCTTTATAAGACTTGTCATATTATGTTAATTTTTAATTATTATCCTATTCCTTGAAATCATATTTTAGTCTCCTCTAGGGAGAGCCTAGTCAGATGCTGAGCCTAGAAGACACTAAAATATGATTTCAAGGAATAGGATAATAATAAAAAAATAATATAATATGACAATGATAATATAATATAATAAGTCTTCTGGAGAATAAGATGATGTGGGATACTGTCTGAAGATGGGATATAAAAGTGGGTCCCGAAACGTTATGATCTTATTGAGTGGAATGATTTTGGGAGAATAAATCACTGAAACAAATATTCTTACTTATGTCGTTTCTACAGATGTTTACACTTCAAAAAACATGACTTACTTAAAAAAACACAAAACTTGATTATTTTTAGTTTTCTACTGAAAAGGCAATTGTTCATATAAAGTTACTTTGTGGCTCTTAAGGTCTGCTGTCGTCCCTTTAAATATTTCCCTCTACTTACGGGACACCCTATATATATGTGTGTGTGTGTATATATATATACATTATTTTTTAATTGTTTTTTTTTTTGTTATCGCAGAACCATTGGAGGCCGCCGGATTACAACGCGGAGAACTACGTCTCGGGCCTGGTCTCGCGGCGCGGAGGGTCGCCTCCTTCGCCCGTGGCCATGGAAGAGATGTCGCTCCGCCAGTTCTCCACCGTGTCCGACCTCCTGGCCAAGCTGGCGGTGGACCTGAGGGCAGCCTATCCCAGGTATTTAGAACCATATTCATATTGATGAAGTTATATATTTGGTATAACATTTAATTAAATTACTAATATTATTTAAAATTACTACTTCTGTTTAATTAAGTTACTTATTTGTCTCCTCATGTGTGTCCAGAAGGGTATTGCATGACGCAAGTTAAGCCATCAAAATTATTAATGGAAACACAGTTTACGTCTTTCTTTTTTTTTTTTACTTATTTTCTTCTTTTTTTCTTTTTGTTAGGAAGCTGTTTACTATGCTGTTGGCCATAAAAACTTCCAATAGATAACAAATTGTGTATTTTCTATAATTTACTTTAAGTTAACGTTTCGGGATACAATTCACATCTTCAGAACTTTATTCTATCATCAGTAATTAATAGCTATTAAAAAAAAGTACATTATAGCGAATACACAATTTATTATATATTGGAAGTTTTTATTGCCAACAATGTATTTGCTATATTTATATGGTGTTAACATATTGCTATATTTCAATGGGGTTATGAATTTTTGGAAGGAACCCTGTTTTTGAGTGGTAGTAGGGAATAAGAGAAAAACGTAGAACAAACAAAAAATGGTGCTGTATTTAATGAATGTATTTGATCAACAATTCTTCTAATTTTATTTTCGCTTGCTCTGTTTTTAAAAAGAGTAAAGCAATACAATTTATTGAAACAGATTTATTAACCTTGGAGAGAATGGGCACCCCTGCGTTTCCTGTCTCGAAAGTTGAATTTTTTTAAATTACATAACTCTATTTATACGCTATTTATTTATTTATTTTTTTGTTGGTCCTCCCCTTCCTTACGGCTATACGGAGTTTTCCCGTGCCAAGGAGTGTCGGCGGGAATTTAAAAGACTCCCTCGACACTGGGACGCGAACTTGTGACTATATTTTATCATCGTCTCATATGTCATGTTGCCAGACAGCGGCGATGCTGTGCACACACGTTAGCCCGTTCGGCCACCCCGTCCACAAGTACTTCCTTGTTACCTGTCCTGGTCATCAGAACTCGGGGACCCTCCTATATTTTTCACAGACTACCATTTAAATACTCCCTTTGATCCCGTCCCACTAGATTCCGTACTTCCGACCTCTATTCCCCTCCTTACCGAACTGCTACGTTTGAGAAATCCTTTGTAACCCAATAATAATAATAATAAATTTATTTATTGAGCAATTTTACAAATGCCTTTTGGCATATTTTGTAAATGTTATGTTCGTTAGCGAACCTCCTCTCCGGGATTAGCGTGAATACGTGATTGGAGAAGCCTCCCAGTGAAGGCACTCCTAACGTGACTCCTGACGCAGCAGATCTCTGCTCCAGAGGCGCTTGAGTCTCCTTGGTGGATTCTGTGGTAGTGTGTCTGTTAGCAATGTTTGTACTAGTGGATTAGGATGTCCAGCTAAGGAGTCATGGAAACTTTTATAATATTTTTTAATTACATCAGTCACTTGTGATATTTGTAGGTCTTTATGAAGCGATTTATTGGTTATGTAGAAGGGACAATGAGTGATATACCGGAGAAATTTAGATTGGAAAATTTGAATAGTCTGTAAGTGTGTTTTTTTGCATGAACCCCACACCTGAGAGGCATACGTCCATATTGGTCTGAGTAGCATGTTGTATATAGTAATTTTGTTAGAAAGTGATAGTTTGTTTTTATGGTGTAGCATTCGTCTTAGTAATGATAACCGATGGTTCAATCTCTTTTTTAATGTAGTCACGTGTGATTTCCAGGTCAGTCGTCTGTCCATTGTGAGTCCTAGATATTTTGTCTCAGTATGATTTGGCAAAGGGGTGTTGTAAAGTGTCAGTGGAGGGCAATCCGAACGTTTAAGTGTAAATGTAACCTGGTTTGATTTTTGAATGTTAATTTTTATGCGCCATTTATCAAGCCAGTCTTGTAGAAGATTTAAATGAATCTGTGCTTTCTGAGATGCTGTGATCGGATTAGAGTCAGTCGAGAGTATGACAGTGTCGTCTGCGTAAGTTGCGAGTAATGTGTCCGGTGTCTGTGGAATATCAGAAGAGTAAATTGAGTACAGAACCGGACCTAAAATACTGCCCTGCGGTACTCCCGCGCCGATTCGGCAATAGTCGGAGTATTTACCATCCTGGCTAACAATAAAAAATCTATCCTCAAGATACGATCTGATTATTAAATAATATGTATGCGGAAAGATTGGTTTAATTTTACAAAGTAGACCATCATGCCACACTTTATCAAAGGCCTGTGAGACGTCTAAGAAAGCTGTTGTGCAAAATTCCTTCTTTTCCAATGCCACAGCAATTGTATCAATCACTCTATGACATTGTTGTATAGTAGAGTGTGCAGGTCTAAATCCAAATTGGTGATTAGGAATAACATTGTTTGCTTCTAAAAATGGATAGAGCCGTTTTAATAATAATTTTTCAAATATTTTGGAAAATAAGGGTAAAAGACTGATAGGCCTATAGGACGTGACTTGGTCTAAAGGTTTGCTTGGTTTCGGTATCATTTTTATGATTGAAAATTTCCATACTAGAGGAAAGTAAGTCAGTCGAAGGATAGAATTGTAAATAGCTGTCAGGAAGATTAATGCTTTTTTGGGTAGAAGTCGTACAATTTTAGGTGTGATTAGGTCAAAGCCAGGAGATTTTCTGCGAGGTAATTTTTTAATACAAAATTCTATGTCCGAAGGAGTTATAGGAGAAGGAGGTAGAGAAAGGGGAAGAGGAGAAATTAGGATTTGTTGGACGTCTGAGCAGTGCTGTTGGTCAGGCAACTCTTCATGTGGATGAAATACGTCTGTAAGATGAGTAGCAAATAAGTCTGCTTTCTCTTTATCGCTTCTAGCCCATGAGTTGTCTGGTTTACGGAGAGGAGTCTTTGTTTGGTGGTACCCTAGTATCTTTCGGGTTTGTTGCCAGAGAGTATTGTTACTTGTCTGTAAGGTGGTCAGATGTTTTTTGTAAGTTTCCTGTTTGTATTGTTGTATAAGTTTTCTAAGTTTGTTAGAAAGTGCGTTTAGTATCTGTTTGTCACTGGGATAGCGAGATCTTTTCCATTGGTTGAGAGCACGTCGTTTTTCAATTAGAAGTGATCGTATTTCCGGGGGTAAGTACTGTTTGTCGCGGTTGGTCTCGTACTTGTGTGCTGATTGCCAAGCGGCAGTTTGTATAGTCTTAGTAAGCGTCTCTACTGCATTGTCAATATCATTTTCCGTCTTTAATCTTGTGTTTAGATCAATAGTCTTATTAATAATGGAATGAAATTTATCAATTAATATTGGTCCAGGAGTTAGTGTAGGTGTGTGGTTGATAGTAAACATGTGTCTAGAGAGAGATAAAATAACCGCTGAATGGTCTGATGATAAGTCGTTACTAATAGAGATATGATGGTGTAGTGTGTGTAGGCTAGAAGTTATAAAGAAATCAAGTAATTCTGGTTGACGGTTTATGTCTGTCGGCCAGTAAGTCGGTTCAGGTGGTAGTATGCAGTTATAGTCCAGTTCTATACATGTATTAAAAAGAGAGTTTCCTCTAGAATTATTGGTCCTATTGCCGAAACGGGCATGCTTGGCGTTAAAATCGCCTCCACATAAGAATTTAGGTCCTAAGCTGCCAAGTATGTCTGTAAACGTTTCTTGTGAAACTCTTTGTCTCGGAGGACAATATGCACTGGCAATAGAAATTTTGGTGTGATCGATTTCAACCGAAATAGATGATAATTGAATTTCTGGTAAGGCAGTCATTTGAAGAGGATAGTGGTATAATGTTCGTTTTACGACTATTGCCGAGCCACCACGGGCAGTACCGCTGGGATGGTCAGCGCGGTACAATACATACCCTTGTATGTAAAATGTTGTAGTTTGAGTAAAATGAGTTTCTGTTAGTAATGCAATGTCAATGTCATTTTCATGTAAATAAATGTCAAGTTCATTCCTTCGGTGTAGGGCTCCATTTGAATTCCAAAGAAGGATTTTTAGAGAGTGTTGTGAGATAGAATTAGGGACTAACATGAGGAATAAATTTGGTAATTAGCGTGGTGAGAAGAGTGATCAGCGGAGTTATCATAGATTTAAAATCGTTTAAGAAGGAATTAAAATATAATGAGAGATCTGGAGTATTAGGTTGTGTATTAGATGTTGTGTGATGAGGTCTTGAGTATGAGGTTGACGTGTATTGATACGGTATGTATTGAGATTGGGTACAATGAGGTACTGAACGGTCAGGGATTATACTCGTTTGGTTTATTGAGTGCGGAGGAGTTATACTTGTAGTATGAGAAGTAGTGTATTGAGGAGATATATTTGGAGTTCGAGGATCTGTAATTTGAGGAGTCGTATGATGAGGAATGGTGTTGTGAGGAGATATATTTGAAGTTTGGGGATTTGTAATTTGAGGAGCTACATGATGAGGAATGATATTGTGAGGGATTACATAACGAGAAGATTCATTTGAAGTTTTGGGATTTGTAATTTGAGTTGTATGATGAGGAGCTATATTGTGAGAGATTGCGTAGTGAGGAGTTACACTCGTTGTTTGAGCAGTTGTGAATTGTGGTGTTGTGTTGTGATATGTAGTTTTAGTACACGTTGCCTGTGCGTAAGTCGTGTTGTGTAGTTTTTGCGAGATAGGGACGGTGTAAGTAAGTCGGTCGTGTTCCGCCTCTGGAGGCAGGTGTTCTGTTACCTCTCTACTCGAAGTGGCCTGGTTCCACACGTTGAGTCTTCTTTTCTGCAGCTCTAGATGCACTATGCATCCCCTATAGTTCGCAGGATGATTGCCACTGCACAACGCACAAACAGGTGGCTCTTCAAGTGGTTTCTGGCACCTATCACTAGGATGATCTTGACCGCACTTCACACATCGTGGTTTATGATGGCAAAATGTTCTGGTGTGCCCGTATTCTTGGCATCTCATACATTGAACAATATTTCTTCTTTTGTAAGGTTCTTCAATCCTAACTCTTGTGTAAGCCAAATTAGTGATATTAAAAACTTCAGCATTGTTTGG